AATAAAATTTACATGTATTTACTGAAGCTACCGGGATGGTTTTCTACTTCAGGATTTATTTATAATCTCGAATGAAGTGACGTTTATTTAATCAAGACTTCAATCTCCCGCGGAATAACGAAAAACTATTATTATTTTCAGATCAAGGAACCGTGCCTCTCAAGACTTCAATTACTCTGTTTGTTTCTCTTGGCTATTCTTTGGCGGTGAATAAAGTCATCTAAAAATATACCAAAGTAGTAAAAGATACTAACTCCCTTTCAATTTTAATCAGAGTTGTGCTCGCCATAAAAGTCGCATTGAAGAGAGCCAGTCGATATGCACTCATAGTATGATAATTGAAACAATAAGCCTCCTTGACACTCTGCGCTGAAAGAGACACTACTCGCGCTCGTAAACAGAATGAAGCTGTCGTAAAAACTGATCAGTTGTAAAGTCCGATAATAAAAAGAGCGCAACAAAGCTTAAGTCGTGACTGGGTTTTTATTGAGCGACCAAAAAAGTATATATAATAACTCATTTGCGCGGCCACATCGGTGACAGGCGCCACGCGAGGCTCAAAAAAAGAAGACATGACTTCCGGTTTCTACGGGGTTAACGGGCAGTCACTCGAGAGGATGCACCGGAATGCCGTTCACGTACGCGCACGCACTTTGTATATTTTTTCATTCACCCTTGCTTTCATTCTAAATAGTTTTGTGTATAACTGTGTGCATGGGTTGGAAGTATTTCCTGAATTCGGGATGGGGCTCTGGCAATTGCTTTTGTATACGTTTCGATGAAGCACGTTTAATTGAATAAACAACTGGGAATGCTAACGCAAATGTGAGTTTAGGGAAGGAGAAACGTTTTCGATGATGCATCACGTTGCGCATGAACAACATATACTGTAATGCCGTCAATAATAATATCAATTCACTTGGTGATCAGTGCAACTCACTGTTTACTTTCATCCGCCCAAGAAAAAAAATTCAATTATGATCAGTATCACTTATATCCATCCACTAAATCAAAATACGCCTTCCTCCTTCATATGGAAAAAAAAAAGATCATCAAGTGTACCGCAACATTACGTTGAAGAAAAAAAAAATAATCACAGTCTTAAAAAAAGCACTTTATCACTCAATAAATTGATAGAGTCAATTAAGCGCTCGAGACCCCCTACACCCGATCGAAGAAGAAAGAAAAAAACAACGAAAGAAGAAGCGTTCGAAACGATTGCCTTATGAAAAAGCCTTAAATCATCTATAAGCTAACGCCGCAGTAATTCCCGAATCCTCCATCGCACGCGAAAAGATACGTTCCAATAAAGCAGTGATGCAGGCAAAAGTACCGAGTACATACATAAATCATCGCGGATTCCTTAGTGCAGTGCAGCAGCGAGCCTATATACTACAAATCCCTCGAAAGCCACAAGGTGCAACCAAAACACGCAGCGCAGCGGCAGCAGCTAAGGCGCTGTGTTGTGGTTACAGCTATTTGGCTAACTTTGCTCTTTGCCAGGCTCGACTTGCTATGCCCCCGTGCAATATTGCTTAGTTTATGCCAAAGAAAGTAATAAGCTTGCCTGTTTGGTGCCTCAGCTCGTCTAATTTTCTGCTATATTTTTTTATTTATATTTGTACCGATTTTTTATTGCTTAATTTGGCGAACAAGATTCTAAAGAGCGTAAAAGCATGTTAGACGATTAGACTGTAATTTACAGAATATTTATCGCAATTAAACAGAGCTCATTTTTAACTAAAGTCAACGAATGAAAAAAATTACAAATATTTAAATAGTTCGTCGACTCTTACATTCGAATGATCGTACTAAGTTAGAAACGTTTCGGGCAAACTTGAAAATAAAAGGAAATTACATACAGCCGACAATCCTTCTCAAGCAAAATCAACTGGCCACAGTTTGAATTCGTCCAACCAAGCGCGATATTTGTCGATTGCTTTGATAATTCAAAGAGCATTCACATACAATGCGTGCAAACCTATAGTACAGAGGCCTAATTATTCGATTAGAAAGTAAAAAAACGGAACAAAAGGCCCATTCCCATCGAGCGATAACGAGAGTAAATAAAAATCCTTTCAACAAAGTCAACTCGCGTATGCATACGGGGGTTAGAGAGAAGAGCGACGGATAGTCAAAGCGTGCCGAGAGCTACAGCCGAAATTAACATTCTCTCCCGGACAAATCGGAACATAAGCGGAAGTAAATTGCACGTACACGAGGAGCCGCCCAACATAGTGGCAAAGGACCCAGCGCTGCCACTATATAACGCTCCGCACAGAGAGAAGGGCAAGGTAGGGTAGGGGGTTGGGGAGGGGGGAGGGAAGAGCAACAGGCCATTGTGCGATAGCAAAGCGCGTATATGGTGCGCACCAAAAGCTCGCGCCGATGTGCACTTGCTTGCGTGCCACTGCTGTTTTTCAACTTTGTTTCATTGCCTGCAATTTGCTCGTGCGACAGCTTTTTGCAAAACAAACGTATTCTAGTCTTTTTCTCGTTGAATTATTCTAATGGGAACACGGATAAATAATTTCACTTGTGTGTTCGATAATTCAACGGCGCCAATTGCGTACGTTCTCTCAGCTGGTTGTAAAAATTAATAGTAATCCCGGTGAACTAGGCTGCTGCAACAATAATAATAAGGGCCCTACTCCCGCAACGTTATTAATTAAGTTATTTGCTTTATTCACTAGAGCTGCGGCTTTGAATTGCGCGCATGTAGGATAAATAATTAGGATAAATAATAAAGGCTAACAAATTAACAATACGTGCGCTGTTTTTCAAGTCCATCGCATCATTTCATTGTAATTATAAAAAAAAAAATATAATATTATATACAGAATGACTAATTAATTAATCAATACATTGAACAATTAATTAATGTAGATTCAGCTTTCGTTTATAATCGAATTGCGATGCTTTTATTTGTTTTCCGTATATTCAACGTGATGAGAGCGAAAATCTCTACGCAAAATTCTAAATTAAAACAAATAGGAGTGCGCGTCGAGGTCAAATAAATCACCAATAAATTTCTTCACTCTTTTTCGTCTCTTCGGTACGCCAGCGCGCGTGCTATCCAAATGTTTTCATCTCTTCTCCCATATAAAGATCATCTCTCGCGTCTGCGTGTTTACGTATGACAGAGCGTGGGCTCGACGAAAACTACAAACGGAACAGTTCACATGTAAATTAAACGTTCGCGGCGCGTAAAGACAAGCGGGCACTCATTAAAACGTAATACGCAACGCTAAGCAGAACACACGGCAGTGCGTGTGTGCCGACGCATTGTTCAAATTTTCTCTGCCATTTATCTTTCGATATGACTATTTCGACTGAACATCCAAGGAATAACGACAAAAACATGTTAACGTTTGCGTGAAATTCTGTGCGGCGGCTACTGACTAATCGGACTCGACAGTTCTGCAATCGCAAAAATAATGAAATTTGAGTGTATATGTACAATTACCGACAGTAAAAGTCATTTGGCAATACACTTTGATATATCCGACAACGCTGCAGGTCAGCGTCGCGCTGAGACAACGTGACGCAAAATACAGGCCCGTTATCTTAACCACGCGGGACATAATCCTTATCAGCGAGCTATCATAGATGACGTGCCAAATGCAATGGAAAAGATGATTTTACCAGTTAGTTCGTTGCACTCGCGCGCGCACGCACGGCGCTTTCGGTCTTTTTTTTCGTCGCTCGTTCAAGCTAAATATGCAAATGTCATTCGCACTCGCGCATTGCGCAATCGCGCGCGCGAAGTTATTTCCGCCAGCTCTATTTTACGGATTTACATGCGTATAGCTGAGCGAGAGAGAACTGCACACTTTTATCTAATGAATGCAAATTTCATACTCACAGCTCCCCATAATACACGTGTCGCAATTGTTGCCGCGAGTGAGCGAGAGGGCCGATTACAAGTGCATAATCGTACGGGCTTACATACATTTTTTTATTCGCTGTTCTTGTACGTGCGCGAGCCATACGTGTGGGTTTAAATAAACTCGGACATTTTTTTCAGCTGATATTTATTGAATTGTAAATAATTCTCGTGATTTTAATGGACTAGCAGCAACCGATGCACTCAACGTGTCGTTAATTATTGATACTCTAATTGGCTTTTAGTACAATTAAAGTATCGATTCCACACTGACGATAATATAGATATTTTTAAAAAGCCTCTACTTGATCATGCATTTCATATTATGAATAACTTTTTCCATTTCAAAGATGGCTTCGAATATTAATATTACGTAGGCACAAATATTCTAACGAGTTTTGATAAATTGAAAGTGGGGTTACGTAAATACATATATGACGAAGCGTGAATTGCTTAAAGACTTTGCGTAAATGTCATCGATACAAAGTCAGTCACTGTTAGAAATCAATTGCACACTATTAATCTCGCGGAACGCATCAAGAGGAGACACCGATCAAACTCTTAAACTTTCAAATGGGGCTTCGGAAGGTATCTAATAGCCTGTTTTGAATAATAAAAACGGTTATTAATGAACCTTCCGATTATAAACTACAAGCGATATGAATGTAAACTTTCGTAAAACTATGTAACAATACGACTTATTGGAAATTGACTGCAAGTTATACAAAGTATATCCTGGTCTTAATTTCGTAACTGAACTTTGAAAGAGGAATTGGTCTAGAAAACTCTAGGTATTAAAAAGTGAAAACAAACAACCACGCATATTTTGATTGAATTGATTGAACAGCGATTTGAAATAAACACGATCTTTAAATGTTTTCACCAAAAAAAAAAAAACTATTTTTCATTTTCATCCATGCAGCATGGCTACGCTTGAATGAGAAGAAAAAGAAAAGCTGTGAGGAAAGTCTCGCACGTTTTGACAGTGAGAAGAGAAAAACAAAAATCCATCGACCCTCTGACTTACAATGATACTTTTTCATAACAATCGACTCTTCTAGCTCGAAAAGAATCATATCCGAAAAGAAACACTATGTAGTAGCACTCAACTCACCTGGGCGAAAGCGCCGTATCACCTTGCTCCTTTTAGCTGAAGAGCAACAGATAGGTGTACCAGCGCCAAGAAAAAGGATAGAGTCACCAAAAATATAACGTAAAGAAAAGAAAATTAGTCAACGCACTAACGCAATGCACAATCGCGAAAAAAAAATGGATGTCCAGGTTGTGTCAATTGCAGTGCAACGACATACAGCTGCAGATAGATACACGCGACCGCAGTGACGGCAGTGAAGATGAGAAAGACAAGCGGCGCGTGGCAATGTAGTCTCCCCGCGCGGCTACGTCCCGCGACTGACTGACGATCGTATCGAAGCGCGAACCGCGTTGCCCCCAGCGCCACCCATGACCCGGCGGCGACACTGCGCAAACCGCCAGGATATAGCCATGTGTGTGCGCCGCCACCGCACCGCTTCCGAATAGTCTTCTCTCTTTTTCTTGGCGCTTGCGGATTTCTTCTTTTTATTTGCTTTTCAATGTCTTTTCTGTGTTGGCTGTGTTATCTTAGATGTATCGTCGTTGTTGTTGCTGTTAAACGGCTTGAAAATTATGATTAGCTTTTGTTTCCAATGGAAAGAATCTTTCGTAAATTTTTATTTTAATTCGCGGCTTGATTCCGATATTTCGATAATTTTTACTGATAAAAAATTCTTGAAAACAGCTTTTTCTCAAGTTACGCAGAACATGATTATAGTTATCTCTAAGCGTGAGTTTATGTTATTGTATTTAAAAATCAAAGTATTCAAATTCCTTCAAAAGTGTTAAAATAATGTTCGATTAAAAAAGGTTCTCGCTGAGTCCAAACGCAAAAAAAAATCGATTTAAAAGTCGATCATGTGCATAATTTTTCAATCAATTTTCATTTTGGGAAGCATCTGCCTGCGCGCCTCTCCTTGATTTTTCTGTTGCTTTTTTCTGCCCTTTACCCTTTCGCTCGCTCAACAGTTTTTTTCTTCTTGCTGTAGTTTTCTGGCTCTGCCGGCATAAAAGCGCGCGAACCCATCAAATTCGCATCGGCATTGTTTTTACAGCAATGAGTAGTTTGTACCTTGGTTGCGCAGTAAAAATAAATAGAATTGTTTTTTTTTCTTTGCTGTGCCATCAGAACAAGAAACTCTAAAAAAATAAATAAATAAATAAAAATGTAAATTTGTTACGACGAATCAATTTGAACAATCGCTTGCAAATTCAACAAAAAACAATGAAGTCAATTAGCATGTGCAGTGTCAAAATACGCAAGCAAACTCTTAGATAACAATATTTGCAAACTTGCATTTTCCACATATTCCCTAGACGGATTCATCGGTAAACTGTTCTCTGACTTGTAACTTTTGAAATTGTTGATTGGCGCACTCGCGCGAGTGACTAATAGTTGGCCCAACTAATTTGTCGGCGAACAGTTTATTAGGGCTTTTCAGCAGAGCTGCTGTGCTGCGAAGAAAGCCTGTCTGTCCGTCCCCCAGAGTATATATATATATACCCAATGCGTGTCCCCGTGCTAAATTGAGATCAATGCGCGAGCGGCAATATAACGGTCCCCCCGTAGGGGCCCGACTTTGACTTTGCCAAACAAAAGCAAACGCCGTGACCAATTTCCTTTTTTATGTATAGCGCCCGTCATTTTGCGGCAAAATGATGTCTCGGGCGGGGATAGGTGCTTCCGGAATGGAGAAATAGTGTTAGCAGAGAAGTATACGCGCGTGTGACAGGGGGACATTGTATAAATCACCTTTCGACGCGGGATAACATTGAGAGAAAAAGAGAGATAGAGAGCGAGGACAATACGTCGGCGTGATGCGGCTGGTAATGGATTGGAGATTTTATTATTGAAACACTACAAATTACTGCACCTTTTCTGCCCGAATCTATCAGCTGCCGATGCAGTTTATATGCAGTAGTTCATAAATGCCTTTACGTATGGATTATATAAATTTCGAAAATGGTTTTACTTTTTTCATCGTTACACGTGCACAGCCTGGTAAAAGACTGGTTCTATTATTGTATTAGAGCCATACGAGTGTACGTACAAGTTCAACAACTCAACTTTTAATTTTCCAAGGCATTCCTTCGTTGCATTTAATTTCGTTTGAAAAGCCCGAATGATTTTCAGCAGCAGCGCGCGAGATCAAAATTAATCGCGCTTCTAAGTGAGTATCAATCACAACTACGTTTGACGTTGAGCGCCTGTACGATTTTCATTGAGAGAGAGCTGACAACAATCAAGCGTGGTTGGCGCGCATTAATCACACACGCACAAAGAGCATCGTAAAAATAAAAGTGGTAACGATACGTGAAATAAAATAAAGCGCCGTGGAAAAGAAAAAGTGTATACAGAAAAGGTAATAGTCGAAAGAAAGGATAGAGAGAGAGAAGGCAATGAGATATAGAGTGAAGCAGTCAGGTAGCGAGGAACGTTATTCTGCGCGTACATACGGGCGGTACGGTCAAAAGTATATAAAAAAAAGAAGGAAACTGGCGTGCACGTTAGGGAGAATACAAGTGGAAAGCAAGACGGCGAAATAAAAGGTTGGCTGGGCGAGCGGGCCGCGCGCTACGAATACGAAAAGACGTAAGAGAGCGGAGCGCGCGCGCCGGCGCACACACGCACATTGGACGTGATCATAAATCTTTGTTCGGCGCTCGCCGACTTGCCCGTAAAACAGCCCGGCCCGGAGTTTCCGATACGCTCGCGCACAGACGCGTCAACCCAATCAACAGCCGACCTATTGCTTGCTCGCGCGCCAAAATCAAACTCGATGAATGTCGAGAGGCTGCGGGGGTGTATCCGCCTGTATCGCGCGCGCCACGTCGCTCTATTTGTTTCTCTTGGCGCGAAGCACCGCCGGCCGCCGCCAGTTTGCTGCCCGCGCCGTTTGAATATGCATTTGCCGTGTGCGCATTGTTTGAAAGCAAATAACTTGCAGCTCTCCGCGCGGCCGGCAAGTATATGAATCGTGATTGGCTTTTGAACGTGCGCGTTGACAGAGCTCATGGATTTTTGAGGCTTCTCTTATTTGCATGTTTCAAGTTGAGCTTCATTTCTTGCCGACCCTCCCGTGAGATTATCGTTTGTGAACATTGCAATTGTTCATTATCTGCATATTCACAACAAACGTTGTATTAATTACTGATTATGTGAGTATGCATACGATTTACACGAATCGTTACTGGAAATTAACCGGCTTCACATATATTATATCACGCTACTGAATATTCGATTTCCATTTCTCCTTGTTCATTTCGTGGAAAATCCAATATTCACTTAATACTTGCGATAATTACGATGGAAACGCAGTAGAGGCGAGATATTAAAAATAACCCAGTCGCATTTGAACGTTTAAAACGAATTCAACAACAAATAACAGCTCAGAAAATTTATTTCATATGTACAAAAATGGTATCGGCTACATACAGGTGCCTACAATAAGGCAATCGTCACATAGTTCTTTCACTCGCTATTTCCGAGGCAGACGAGGCACAGCATCGCAATCGAAGTCAGCTCGAATCACGAAAAATCACGGCGGCATCACGCGTCAACTGCATTCTTCAGGCGAACTTATTCTTTGCGACACTCTTGCCTCCCCCTGCTCCGTACTTTTTTGCACTACACAGCACTTCCGCCCACACGAGAATGCAGTCGCGCGCGCTGGTGTGGCGACAGATCGCATCTGGTCTACGTGCTCGCCACGTCTATTCCAGATCGTCACGCCGCATCGGTGCAGCGACGACGACGTCGAGAGAAAAAAAACATTTATAAAGGAGCAAAACAGTGCCGCAAATTTTAATGTGTCGCACGCACGCACAGGTGGTCCGCCTGGAAATTGCTAGGGTGCGCGCTGTAAAACGAATCGCTTTTTTACGTGCGAGCCGCGATAATGGCGAAAATCGCACCGTAAAGCTTCGAGTGCCAGCGAACGATTATTTTCTTTTTTTTTTCAAGAGAGAGAGAGAAAGAGAGAGGAGCCCTACTCACATCGATCCGATCGTTTGTCTAGTTATAAGGCTCTGAAAAGAAAGAAATTTTTCTCTCTTCTCACTTTGCCGATGTTATAATGAGACACTTGTCCTCGGTGGATGGCCTTTTTCTTATGGCCGGCTTTAGGTTTCATTTGTTCTTTTTATCGGACTTGCTGGATTTTAATTAGTGACGAAGAATGATGCTCATAATGATGAAATCTGCTAGCAAGATTTACGGGCTTTATATAAAATCCGAGTATTTGGAAATTATCTTTGACGATCAATAAAAAATATGGAAATAAATGGTAAGCACTTAAAAACATCATGAACATTTGAAAAAAAGAATTTAGATTACAATATCGTTCATCAATACGTGGTGGAGCGACGCGCACTTCTCCTTTTCACTATAAAAACGTGTATATCTCTCTTGACGTTCGTTGAAAAATGGTGCCCTGGAGGCTCGATGACCTCATTCCCGTTAACTTTGTTAACTTGTGCAATACAGAAATTTCCACGTTGCTCATCCAATGCTCATACATCATATTTGCTCGATATTACTTTTTGATGCGCGTGAACTGGCAAAAGCGACAATGTAAAACTACAAATGTATGTATTTTCATGGGCAAGCTTGCAATGCCGTGTGTTTGAAATAACGGACGACACTTCTATTCCAAGGACATTATTGTTAATTGCCTAAAATTCAAAAGGATCCTTCGCATGGCATATTCTGCATATGCAGCGTTAAAAGCGCAGCTCTCGACTCTCAACGCCAACTACGCGCTTTAACTGTCCTCTAAACTAGTTACTACATGGTGTAAATTACTTTCGTGCTTGTTTCCAACACTCGTAATTCATATTGAATTTCCCATGACTTTGGAAGAAGGCACTAGTAAATGACTTTTCATGTATTTCATGGACTTTTTTCAATTTACATTTGGAGTTTTCATTATTTTTAATAAATTTTCAATACAAACTTGTACATTCACAAGTTAGTGAAATTAAATTTTCAGCTTATGTATATTGCAATAAACAATTTTTACAGTTTTCACCGCCAAGTGACAAAATCGTGCCATCGTAAACCATATAAATTATCCACAAATACGTTAAACATTAAAGCTATTTGAGTGAAAGGGGAAATAGTATATTATTCATGAACATTATTACACATGTGAATAGCCGTCTACAGATAAATCCGTCACAATCGATGACAAAATTCACTTCACGCTTTTATTCACCGAAAATCGGTCATAATCCCGCATTCAGCCGGAAAACGTCGAAATGCTTGCCTGTTGAAATCTGTATGCATAGTCCCCGG